CCCTATAGCAAACAAACAAACAAATAAACAAACAAACTTAAGAAAAAGAAAAGAGAAAAACACCCTGACCATGGGTATGTATGCTCAAAATCCCAAAAGGAAGGAAAAATGGAAGAGGAGGGATTGTGGCGTGATCATGCCATATTGGGTGTGAGAGACACTGTCTCTCTGTTTGTCTCTCTCCAGTGAGTCCACACATCCCCTGGCAAAATTAAAGATAAAGTAAAATACAATAAAATGAAAAAGTGTAGTCTATATGCTTAAGGAGCTATCTATGTTATTTATTATTATTTTTTAAACTTTATTTCTTCCATGAGAGAAAGACAGACAGCATCCCCAATAGAGTCTCGGTGCTGTGATCCTCCCCCAGCTTTAGCCAGTCCCAAACCATGGACAAGAATGTGCCCACTGTGCTCAGAGAGGTCTCTGGATTTGAACTGGGAACCTTTCCATGTGGTATGGCCTCACAAAGCATCACATCTTACCACAATGCCACTTTCTGTCCCCATTTTTAAAAAACTTGAGGTGAAATTTGCAACATGAAAATAATTACTTTAAAGTGAACACTTCAGTGGCATTTAGTGTATTTGCAATGCATTACAACCATTCCGTTACCTGTGTCCAGTTCCAAAGCAGTGTCATCACCCCAGAGGAGACCCCATAACCACTAGCATTCACACACCCCGTCTCCCCAGCTGCTGTCAGCTGCCAGTCTGTCTTCTGTCCTTAGGAACTGCTTGTTCTGGACATTTCATAGACATGGAATCAGATGGCCTGTGACCTTTTGTGTCTGGCTTCTTTCTTTCTTCCTTTCTTTCTTTCTTTCTTTCTTTCTTTCTTTCTTTCTTTCTTTCTTTCTTTCTTTCTTTCTTTCTTTCTTTCTCTTTCTCTCTCTCTCTATCTCTATCTCTGTCTTTCTCTCTCTTTCTTGAGATTTTTTGCCATAGGGCGTGTGTGTTCACCAGAGAGAGAGAAAAAAAGAAATTATCCCCCCCAGAGGGATGGCCATATCGCAATGCCTTCTCCTCCATTCTCCTCATGGGATTTTGGGCACTAACACACACGCACCTGATGTCAAGACTCCTAATGTCTGGCCTTTTTTACTGAGTTTAATGTTTCTAAGATTCCTACATCTTTTCACTTTCTTGATAGTGTACTTAGAAGCACAAAAGTTTTTGGGCCCAGCAGATGGTGTAATGTTTATGTCGCTGGACTCCCATATAATCAACCACAGTTTGAGTCCTGGGCCTGGCAGCTTAAAACTCACGCCGGGCACGTGTGCGTGCGTGCCCAAGATCCCGAGAGGAGAATGGAGAAGTGATTGTGGCGTGGCCATCCCTCCTAGGTGGTGATTTCTTGCTTTCTGCCTCTCTGTCTCTCTCTGTGTCCCTGGTGAGTGCATGCGCCCTATAGCAAAAATCCCTTAAAAAAAAAAAAAGAACAAAAGTTTTTAGTTTGGGTCATGTCTCATTTATTATTTTTTTGTGTGTGTTGTTTATGTTTTGGGTGTCATATCTAGGATGTCATTACCTACTCCAGGGTCATGAAAATTTTCTTCGCTACTTCCCTGAACCATGTCGAATACTCATCTCCTGATACTGTCTGTGTGTGTATATGCAGTGATATTTTAGACAGGGCTTTGCTGTGTTTCAATTCTCCTGCCCCAGCTCCCCAAGTAACTGAGACTACAGGCACATGCCTCCAGGCCTGGTGTTTAGGGTGGGCTAGGAAGTGAACCCCGGGCCTCCCAAGTGGTGTCAGCATGCAGAGTAGCAGCATCCAGCACACTCACTGCAACTGGGCTTCGTGGCTCTCTTTCTTTCCCTTCCTTCCTCCCCTCCTTCCTCCCCTCCTTCCTTCCTCCTTCCTTCCTTCCTTTCTTTTTAAATGACTGCGAGCATGTGCATGTGCACACCAGAGACAGAGAAAGAGATAGAGTGCCTTTGACAGGGTCTTGGCGTGCTGCGGTTCCTCTTCCCTGGCCCTCTAGGTCCTGGGGATCTTGGGCACCCATAAGTGTGCCAAGCTTGTTTTCAGGCTGCCTGGGGATCCGAACCTGGTTGGCATGTGGCTTCTGGCCTTGCAGGACACTTGGATTACCATTGAGCCATAGCCCTGTGCTTCATGATTTTTTTTTATACTCCCTTTATTGTTCTATTAGGTTCTTGGAAAAGTCATCCCATATTTTTCTATGCAAAAAATGCATCATGATTTTTCTGATGACCCAATATTTCTAAATTAAATCTTTAATTCCATTAGAATTTATTTTCATGAAAGGAATGTCCAGTATTTTTTTTTCTTCAGTTGGTTTCCTGGTTGTCCTAACACTTCAAAATTAACTAATGGTAGGCCAAACAGAGATGCAGTGTCGATGCAGCCGGAAGTGCCCCTGGTTTGCATCCCAGAGCCTCCACGTGCTTGCCTGTGGTCTGGACTGGGCGTGAGGACCCTGTCAGGGGTGCCTATCTCTGTTTCTCTCTCTTATGGGAAAATGAATAGATAAGCTTTTATTTGAAAAATAATGAACTAATGGGTGTTTCCCCCTCTTGATTTGAAGTGTAAGCATGCTGGTAAATTAATCACTGCAGGCCTATGGTCTATTTCTGGACTTCTAGCTTGCTCCATTGAGTTAGGCTTTCTATCCACCAGCCAGCCACCCACCCATCTCACTGACGGTACTGTTGTAACATTTTTAAATACCTGGTAGAAAAAGGCCATTTTCAGAACTTCCCAGGGTATTTTTCAAATGATTGGTTATTTTTCCAAGGTTAGTTTTTGTTGTTGTTTTAGAGAGAGATTTTTTTTTTTTTTTTTGGTATAAGGCACATGTGCTCACTGGAGATAGACAGAAAACGAGAAATCACCCCCCTCCCCCCCAGGGGGGATGGCCATGCCACAATCCCTTCTACTCCGTTCTCCTCTCAGGATTTTGGGCACGCACGCACATGTGCCCAGTGTGAGTTGTAAGCTACTGAGTCTGGGACTCGAACTGTAGTCGAGTACGTGGGAGTCCAGCAATATAACTATTAAGCTGTCTGTTAGTCCTACCTAGGTTAGTTTTTTTTTTTTAAAGAATTATTTTATTTAACTTTATTTGTTTACTCATTTATTTTATTTTAATTTGACCAGAGAGGGACAGAGCAAGAGAGAGAGAGAGAGGAAAAGTGAGAAAGCAAGCCACCAGGTCTGGGACTTGAACCATAGTCGGCCATGTGGGCGTCCAGCACCCTTAACCACCACGCCACCTGCCAACCCACTAGGTTAGTTTTTAAAATGAATTTCAGAACCATTTCTAGCATTTAAAAAATTCTACTGCTCTTGTTTTGATGGGCCATTAAAAAATGTGTAGACTAACATCATAAGGAGACGATCTTTTCTTGTCTTCCTATGTCCTTGATCGTGGGTTTTTTGTTTTTTTTTTTGAGAGGTTTTCGCTATAGGGCGCGTGTGCTTGCCAGACAGACAGAGAGAGATATAGAGACAGAAAGCGAGAAATCACCCCCCAGAGGGGATGGTCACGCCGCAATCCCTTCTCCTCCATTCTCCTCTCGGGATCTTGGGCACGCATGCACATGCGCCCGGCGTGAGTTTTAAGCCACCGGGTCTGGGACGCGAACTGCGGTCGGCTACGTGGGAGTCCAGCGACATAGCCATTACGCTAACTGCTGGTCCCCGGGAGCATAACATTTTTCTCTTTTGTTTTTGTTTTTGCTTTGAGAGAGTTTTGCTATAAGGCGCATGTGCTCACCAGAGAGACTGAAAGAGAAATCGCCCACCAGGGGAGTGGCCATGCCACAATCCTTTCTCCTCCATTTACCTCTTGGGATTTGGGGCATGCACACACATGTATCTAGCATGTTTTAAGCCGCTGGGTCTGGGACTCGAACTGCAGTCAACTACGTGGGAGCCCAGCAACTTAGCCATTACGTCATCTGCTGGTCCCTGGAAGTATCTTGTTAAGCTGGTTCGGAGGCAGTTTGTCTAGCGGTTACCATAAACAGGGCCTTTCCTCCTGTCATATCTCCTAACGGACTGACGTTTCCACCGCCACCTCACCTCTCTTACAGTTCATGCGGGGGAAAGCTGTGGATTCTGGAGTCGTAATCTGGTAGCAGCCTTTTGTGGAATGTCTCACTGTTCGTGACTGTCTCCAGAGCAGGTTCTGATCTGGCAGCAGCTTCATGGGGAAGGGACATTTTTGGAGACCATCTTATTCCACCTTGAGCTCCAAAGGCCACAGCTGCCCAGTGGGCTTCAGTACAACAAAGCCAGACCCCTTTCCTTGCCCTCAAGGTCCTGGTGTGGCACTGTCAGCCACTCCTGCGCCAGCTCACCACACCCAGCCGTGCTGGTCTGGGCTTCTCTAACTTGTCGGCACGATCCAGCCTCAGGGCCTTTGCACCTGCTGTTTCCCCACCAGGAACACTCATTGCATGACCGGCCTCCTGGAGAGCCTCCCCAGCCAGCCCGCATGCATCCGCTCCTTCCCTGCACCTGTGCGTCCTTCCCAGCATGTTTCACAGTTGTCTCCTGTCCTGACACCACAGTCTGTCTGCCTCTGAGGAAACTCAGTTCTGTCTGGGTGGCTAGGTCTGCTTGCTCTCCAGCCTTCTCCAGGCCCTCTCTGACTGGCACATTGCCACTGCACGTGGGAGGGACAGACATGCGTGCTCAACCCTGGCTGAGGCAGGGGCAGGGGCTCCTTAGGCAAGAACAGGGGCTGTCCAACCATGACCTAGGCGGGAGTGGGGGCTAGGACACAGCCAGGCAGCCACCCTTGCTGGGGTCCCTTTCTTTAGGGATATTGAGCTCATTCCTTGTCCCTCCTGGTCACTCAGAAATGGTGTCCCTGGGACAGGCAGGGGTGTGGTTTCTTTTCCAGCAGTGGCCAAGCCCTTAGTGCCCTGGAGAGCTCCCCGTGCTGGGCCTGTGGGCAGTGGCAGGCATCCCACAGCCGGGACCCCCAGTGCTCTGACCCTACTGCCTCGCCTCTCTTGCAGTTAATGGCCTCCCATGGGAACGATGCGGCGAGAGCCACGTTCGAGTCCAAAGTGCCCTCTTTCTACTACCGGCCCACGTCTTCTGACTGCCAGTGAGTACAAAGGGGCTTTGTCAGCATCCCTGGTAAACAGCAGGCTCGGAGACGGCTCTGCGGAGCCCCAGGGCAGGGTGGGGGGATGCTGGGCCTGAGAGTGGTCGGTGGTGTTGGCCACGCTGTGTCCGGTCTCCGAGGCCCATGGCGTGGGGCTTCCCATCACTTCCTTTCCCCTCGGCTCTGGTTATAAGGACAGGGAAGATGTTTCCCCTCAGGGCTACTGGCCTGCTGGGGCAGGGGTCCTCCTGGGTGCTCCCTGGTGGTCGGGGCAGACTGAGAAGCTGCTGGGGATGGGGCGCGGCTCGGGGCGGGGAGGAGGGCAGTGCTGGTGCCCTGGCGGGGAAGGTCTGAGAGCCCCTCTCCCAGGCTGCCCTGATGTCAGGGGGGCACAAAGGGAGAGAGACAGAAAGAGGGCTGGCTGGGGCCATGGGGCATGACGTCAGTGACCTTGGCTCACTCACCTAGCATGCCCGAGCCTCAGTTTCCCCATCTGTCCAGCCAGTGGGAATCAGGGAATAATGAGGACGCAGGGCCTCACTCACACCAGCAACCTCGCTTACCACCCCCTACCAGGAAGGGGACTGGTGGCTCCCCGGACTTGGTCCCCAGCCCCACCCTCTGCATGTCTCTCACTTCCTGCCCAGCAGGGTCAACTATTCCCCACGCCTGCCCACCCGGTGCCTTCCTGTCTGCTGACCTTTGCCCAAGCTGTTCCTTCCACCTGGAGTGCCCGCCTCGCCCGCCCAGCACCGCGGTGCCCTTGCCTGGCTGTATTTTGCAGCCTCTGCATTCTGGGAACCCTCCTCCCCCCTGCCCACTGCTCAGTGTATGGGGGCACTTCCTCCTTGGGTACTCCTAGGGGACACTCAAGATTTCTCTGTCTCCCGAGTGTCCAGCCCAGGTGGGTGCACCCGAAGGGCCATGCACACCAGGCTCCTGGGGCAGGGCCCCCAGCTGGTGTGGGTAGCTGCCTTTGTGGGGTTCAGTTCCCCCCAGGAATGGACTGTGCCCACTGGGGCACCCTGATCCTTCCCCTTACCCCCAACTTCTCAGCCTTTAGCAGCTCCTCTCCCAGTGCCAGCCCCGGCCCTCTGCCTGCCCAGCCCTCCTTCCTGAACAACCTCAGTGGCCCACACTCAGTGGCTCCTTTCTCTCATATCATCCAAATCTCCCTGAATCAGCCCTCCCTACCCCGCCTCAACCCTGCCTTCCGGGGTCTCTAGGGCCAAAGCCAACCACTGTGGGGCCTGCCAGCCATGCCCCAACTCTACCCTGGAGGCGCGCAGTCAGGGCCAGGCCCTCTCTCCAAACCACCTCACTCCCAGGCCACTGCCCAATTCCGGCCCCGCCTGGGAACCACCTAGTGTCTTGTTTGCTCAGCATTTTTCTTCTATTGACTCACTGTGTAACCCCTACACCCCGTGGACCCCACCCAGCAGCGACACCTGTGGACCACAGGCTTGTGTTTTCTGCCAGTGCTGGGTGAATCTGTACGAGGGCCGGGGCCCACTGCCCGAGTGTGCTGCCTAGGCCTCTGGCTCAGGGGGCTCAGAGCCAGCCTGCGCTTTGCCCTGGGTCTGTGCCTCGGAGAGGCTGGGGGAGGGGGGTGCTACTGTGGGGCCTCTTTGGGGCCCCAAAGCCCAGGGTCCTGTTTGCTGTCAGAGTCCCAGGTAGTGGGCTCCATGAGAGGAAGGGTGTTCCCACGGGTCCGCAGGGCCTGGAGCTCGGGGAATGTGGGGGATGTGGTGGGGGGTAGGGTGGAAAGGAGGGGAAGGGGAGGACAGATGGAAGGATGGCTTATGGCGAGCAACCCAACAGGCCAGCCCGGTCTCAGTAGAGGCCCGGGTCTTGGCCGAGTCCTGTTTGGGCTGTGTGGGAAAAGCGGGTGTGTCCAATTACTGCATTTCTATCCCACATCGATGGCAAGTCACCACGGGCCAAGTCCAGGCCCAGGCACTTGGCAGGTGTTTTCCTTGTGAGCCTGACATGACCCATTCAGATCCCCACTTCGCAGATGAGAAGACTGAGGCTGGGGGGCCTAGCCTGCTGGCCTCACTCCCCCTGGTCCCCTATGTCTTCACTCCTTTCCCCGGCCTCCTACATGGGACCCCAGGTGTCGTCTGTCCCAATACGCTCAGGAAAATCTGGCCACCCAGGCCCTTCCCGGGCTGCTCTCAGTGTGAACCAAGGAGCCCCGGCTCCATGTGGAGCTGTTCAAGACAGCTTCCTCCCCCAGCTGCAGGCTGCGCTGTGGTCTGGGCCAGCTACAGGCACTCCTGGTACTTCCCAACCTTTCTGCACTGGGACCTGGACCGAGCTCTCCATGACCTTACCTTACGGAGGGCTCCTCCTGGGGCTGACACTCACCTGGCCAAGGTGGGGTGTGGCTACCTGTATAGACTGTCGAGTGCTATGGAGTGGCGGGGGGGAGAGGTAAGCATGCTGTGTAAACTAGGGGTTCGTGGTGCGGTAGGAGGTAGGGGTGTTCCACTGTGGAGCGCCGTAGGAGGGAAGTGGGGTGGGAATGCCTCTGTAAACTGTGCAGTGGTAAGGGGCAGTGCGGACTGCTGACAGTGCCGGGCGGGGAGTGAAGGCCCCAGGTCGCGAGCCAGTGCTAGCCTCTTGGGTACACAGGATTCTCGGCAGGAAGGAAGAAGCCCCAACCCCTGACACAGTGACCTGGCCAGACCCTGTGTCTGGGACAGGCTCACAGGAGAACTCAGCCAGGACAGAGCCACAGCCAGTGGTCTTCCCTGACCCGGAGCAGGACGATACCTGGCCATGAGTGTCGGCCCCTGATCCCATGGCCTTTGGAGTCTGAGCTGGTGCCCTCTATGCCCCAGGCAATGGTGTGGGCACTGCAGCCAGCACGTCGCCTGCTGTGGCGCTCCAGCCCCTGGTGCCCTGGCTGCAGAGAGCTTTGTGGGACGGGAGTGTGATGGCCTCAGAGCAGTGGCCCCATCCCAGCCAGCCAGGCGAGGTGAGCCTGGTGAGGCCCTTGTCAGTTTCCCTCTGTGTGTGGAGGCTGGGGCTGCCCAGATTCTCCTGGTCCCACCAGTTCCTGGAACTCACAGCCCCAGCCTCCGGGGAGGGCCCAGGTCTGAGACAAACTCTTCCGCAGAAGCTAAAGGCTGCAGAGATGTCTGGTGGCATCTTGGCCAGTGCTGAGAGTAGCAGCTGATGGGGACATGGAGGATAAACCGATTCTGGAAAGTCCAACCCCGCTGCTGCTCCTCCCAGGTCTTCACTGAGCATCGCCCCCGTGTAGGACACGGGCTTCAGTTTCCTAGCTGTAAGACGAGAGGGTGTCACCTGCTACCAGGGCTGTCCTGAGGAGGGATCTGGCCCAGAGTGAGTCTCCGGACAGGCAGGCCCCTGCCCCGTCTTCCTGGAGCTCAGAGACCGTTGCTGGGCCTTCTCAGAGGGTCCCGGGATGTGGTTACTGTGGCGACAGGCCTGTGACTCAGAGCAGAGCCAGGGCCTGGCTCTTCCGCTGTCACTTGCTTCGCAGGCCCCTGCATTACGCTCTCCTGAAGGGCGGCTCCTCTCAGTTCTACTTCTGGATGGAGATGGCACCGCCCTGCTTCCTGTGTGGTGATGAGGCAGGAGGTGGCCATGGGGCCACCATGCACTCACGGGCAGGTTTGCAGTGAGTGGCGCTCAGTCCCCGGTGACCCCGGCTGTGGATATGTAGTCCTGCCCTGGGGCCCCATGAACTTCTGGAGCCCCAGAGCTCCCCCAGGTGCCCCCAAGGTGGGCAGTGTGTCCTGGCTAGAAAGGGCTCTCTGAGACTGCATAATGCTGAGTAAAGAAGATCCCCCCCCCCAGCAGGCTGCTCAGGTGAGAGGGCAGGCCAGGGCTAGGGGGAGTCGCCTTCCAAAAAGCAAAGCCCAGCTCCTTCCAGTTCCAGGCAGGGGGTTGAAAACATTCAGCAATGTAAGTTTGGGAGTCTCACCACCCCCCCCCTGCACACACACTTTTTTTTTTTTT